CACTCCGCGCCCGCACGTGTATCGCGTTTCGAGCTCTGCCTCGCTAAGCCATCTTTTCTAGCCTAAGTTGCAGTTTGCAAAAAAAATTTAAAATGTTCAAATGTTGTTGTTTATAGTGGTCAATGGGCTTAGCTACAGCTAGTTAGTTCACAGGCATGCCTCTTAAACTGGCAGAAACAAATATATCAACTAAACATAGTAGGCTTAAGAATCCTAACTGGCGGGACTGGCAAACCAATTGAACCTGGTCGGTTAGGTGAAAACCGCGGAGTGCGGAGTGTGGAGTGTAGAAATTGCAGCCAGAGTATCGGAAATGCATTGTGTAGAAAATGAGGAGTGCAGATAAAACGGCTTGTATGGAAATGGAATTTAAAAAAATTAATCTTTATTCCGTCAGACGTACGCAACTGAATAAGTCGAATAAGGTATAACACCCTATAAAACTCCTTCCATTCCCCAGCTCTCTGTGCGGTCGGCGAAGGCAATAACTCGATCTTCATAAAAGCTTTTCACGCCCGGGGCCACTCGCTTATATGGGCTATATAGGTATGTGCGGCCCCAAAGGGGATGGCTTTTCAGCCGTTTTTGTCATAAATAGGGTATCGATGTTGGCCATTTTGGTCTTAAATAGGGTATGGTTTTAGCATTCTAGTCTTGAATTGGGAATGTTTCTTAGAAGAAGCTACTCTTTCATCATTATCAATAAGACCAGCGACAAAAACCCTTCATAACTTATGTTTAGGGCAACTGTGCCAGCGGCAACGGTCATAAATAGGGTATCAATTTTTTGCCAGGTCATAAATAGGGTAGCAAAAATCGCAGATTTTGGTCATAAATAGGGTAACGATTTTGGGAAGTGGGCCACACACCTCCAACCAACTTTTCTGNCATCTTTTCTAGCCTAAGTTGCAGTTTGCAAAAAAATTTAAAATGTTCAAATGTTGTTGTTTATAGTGGTCAATGGGCTTAGCTACAGCTAGTTAGTTCACAGGCATGCCTCTTAAACTGAAAGAAACAAATATATCAACTAAACATAGTGCACTTAAGAATCCTAACTGGCGGGACTAGCAGACCAGTTGACTTGTACCTGGTCGGTTAGGTGAGAACCGCGGAGTGCGGAGTGCGGAGTGTAGAAATTGTAGCCAGAGTATCGGAAATGCATTATGTAGAAAATGAGTGCAGATAAAACGGCTTGTATGGAAATGGAAGTTAAAAAATTATCTTTATTCCGTCAGACGTACGCAACTGAATAAGTCGAATAAGGTATAACACCCTGTAAAACTCCTTCCATTCCCCAGCCCTCTGTGCGGACGGCGAAGACAATAACTCGATCTTCATAAAAGCTTTTCACGGCCGGGGGTAGGGCTATATAGGTCTGTGCGGCCCCAAAGGGTATGGTTTTTCAGCCGTTTTGGTCAGAGTATGGTTTTAGCACTCTAGTCTTGAATTAGGAATGTTTCTTAGAAGAAACTACTTTTTCATCATTATCAATAAGACCAGCAACAAAAACCCTTCATAACTTATGTTTAGGGCAACTGTGCCAGCGGCAACGGTCATAAATAGGGTATCAAT